CCGTAAAAGCCATCGCCCCATTGAGACCCTCGTGTAGCTCGTGCATTAAAGAACTTTTGCATGAATGTTCCATGTCGGAAACGATCGACAAACGTGTTGGTGGTATCTTTAAATGACAAATTTAAATTTGACCCCAAGCTTGTCTGTGATCTTTCACAGTTAATGTGAATCAGTTAACATTGACTCTTACGTTGTCTTTTAAGTAGTTCCTCATTTTAATAATTTCTCTGAGCTGAGAATGTGACCTTAAGTACTAAAATAGTTTGTGTCTTTTTGTGTCCTTCATGATAGCATTAGAGAACGCCATGTATCCGACCATTAGATCAGGACTGGCGAAGTTTGATGTCAGTTTACCCGAGGAACTCCAGAACTATGTCAGCTACTTATTAAATGAGTCAGCCAAACTTCACTTCCGCAAGCAAGGTACTTAACATTGTTAAAATAAGCTTGTATTGGCTTTGAAACATATGTCCAGTTATCTATATTCGGTGGTAAGACTATTGAGAAATGCTAGGTTTGTGTAATGGTCAAGGAATTTTTCTTTTAACCCAGATTTGTGATCTTGTGTTGGGGTTTTTTCATTCTCTGTAGACCTGGTACCTTTATATAATCATCAAATGACCTGCGCGGTCTAATGCCCGTTTCTAATAAGGAAAAAAAAAAAGATTTATAAATGAACCCCTTTATGAAGGCCGTGCGCGGTTGCGCTGGCAGGGGCATGAAAAGCTGCAAGGCCAAGCGTGCGTCCACGTGAGAAGGAAGTAAAATGAGAAGAGCGGCGTTCATGAAATAAAAATCTGATTGACTGAGTAAGATCAAGCTGGACCCACATGACCCTTCTACTCAGTCCATAAGTGCATAGAATTCTGATGTTAAGGCTGGTCGCTTATGTGGTGTAACCTAAGTACTTTATGATCGTATTCTCAAGAAAAAGACGTCTCTTTCAATTTATCAACACGAATACTTCGTTGTTATGTTTGCAAAGCGAAAACAATTTTTTTCTCGTGTTCTTGAAAATGTTCTGAAACTTTAAAACCAGATTTGGAAAAAAACAACACCAGCAACTTCTCTCGCAGGCATTTTCGACTGCAGAGTTTTAGATTACTAGTGAGGGAAAAGATAATATTGGAATAAAACCTTATGACAATGATTTACAACTTCTCAAATGATTTGCTGACATTTTAAGACTTGGAAAAGAAGAAGAAAAAAGGTTTGGCTTAATGTTTTTGGTATCGCACGACATTTTATTGTTCATACTGTCCGTCTCCTTGTTTTCCCAACTGGTTTCCTTTGACTTGGGATGATTCAACAATAAGTCGAAACGTGGAGACTCGAAATTATTTTTGTGTCCAATTTGCCGAGGTATTTTCTGTGGTTTGTCAGTTTTTAGACAAAAACAATGTAAAGTTAGGTTTTTTCGCTGTAATGTTTTCAAGTAAAAAAATTAATATTCTTTTGTTTTAATCCTTTAGTACTCCAATCACCTCGTGCCTTGGAGGAATTACGTGTAGCAATGGATAAAGACGAATTGAAAGCATTCCTTACTACTCACATCAGAGAAGGTGCATGGCAAGTGGTGCTGCTGTTTACGGATGAGCTCTCTATATCTAAACAACCATGGTACTGCTGTCGTGTAATTTATAACGAGGACGAGGACAAGGAGGTGTCTAATGAAGTGATATACAGTTCAATTTCAGGCATATTGTATGGGTGGCCAACAGAGTACGACCCTGATTTGATAACACTGTGTAAAGCGATCACCAACAGGGATTGGAAAGTAACCAGATTAATTCTCTCAAGGAGTCGGATATCTGATGAAGGTTTGAAGAACTTGAGTACAGCGCTTCCTCAGAGTGAACTTTACAGCTTGACACTGTATGGCAATGGTTTACAAAATCAAGGATTAAAACACCTGTGTGAAGCGCTGATCATTAGTGACTGCCATTTAACCAGCTTAAACGTCAGTCACAATATGTTAGGAGACGAAGAAATCATGCACTTGCGTGACGCGCTAGCCAGCGTTAACTGCAGATTAACCACCTTAAACGTCAGTCACAATAGGTTAGGAGACGAAGGAATCGTGCTCTTGAGTAACGCGCTAACCAGCGTTAACTGCGGATTAACCACCTTAAACGTCAGTGAGAATAGGTGGGGAGACGAAGGAATCGTATACTTGTGTAACGCACTAACCAGCATTGACTGTACATTAACCAGCTTAAACGTCAGTAACAATTGGTTACGAGACGAAGGAATCATGTACTTGTGTAACGCGCTAACCAGCGTTAACTGTACATTAACCAGCTTAAACGTCAGTAACAATTGGTTAGGAGACGAAGGAATCATGCACTTGTGTAACGCGCTAACAAGCGTTAACTGCAGATTAACAAGCTTAAACGCCAGTCACATTCGGTGGGAAGACAACGGATTTAAACACTTGTGCGATGCACTTACCAGCAGTAATTGTGTGTTAACCAAATTGAAAATCGGTTTTATTAGATTAGGAGATGGAGGAATCAAAGAATTGTCTGAGGTTTTAACCAACGGATTCTGTACATTAACAAGTTTAGACATAAGCAACAATGAATTTGGAGATGAAGGAATCAAGCACCTGTGTAAGGCCTTGACTGATACCAACTGCAAACTACGGAGCTTAGACTACCACGGAAATCGGAATGTAACTGATAAAGGCAGAAAATATTTGTCTCAAATGTTAACTGGTACTGATTGGGAAGTTAGAGGAGCACAACTTTCCCGTTCAACTACAAAGTAGACCAAGTAACAAGTCAGAGTCACAGAGACCTGACAGGTTCCTCCTGTTACGTTTCGCTTGTCATGAAATAAATTCCATTTTTATAAATGACAACTTAGAGATCACTGTTCAAGGTGCTTAATTAGATAACTGACCTTCTAGTCACTATCACTTGTTGAACGGAGTATTAAAAATGACCAGCAGTGAGGCAGTCGAAACATCGCGATCAAGAGTTTAGAAATGACTCGGTATCATGACTCAAACGATTATTAAACATTCATTATTCGATAAACGAACTCCACTGTTTAAAAAATAGACTACAAATGCAGCTGCAATTTCGTATAACGGGTCTGTTGGCAATAATGTTATACCTTTTGTAACAAAAAGTTTTGCGCTACAGGGAATTGGTTATACTGGTGATTTAGCTGTAAAAAGATGCCAAAAATATTAAATTATATTTTGATAACCTATTTAATGAATATCGTTATTTTCTAAAAGAAAACTTTTAAAAAGTCTACGTGAATTAGTGACGTATAAATAAGTAATAAGTAACAACATATCCTCAATATTTAGAGGCTTTCGTATTTTTAGTGGGTAGACTCCAAGGGTATAATGTTTAAGCTTAATTGCAATACACTTGAACAAAAAGGAATGTTTTGTTCTGCCTTGTTCGTTTTCGAAGCCAAATGTAGGTGTTGTATACTCGTTCAAATGAGTTTATTTGGACTTTACCTAGTAAGTCATTTACGCAAAGCTTGTACTCTAACTTGTAATTTTTTTTCATCCTAGCTGATGATTTTATGAAGAGCAGAGTTATGTATTACTCTAAAATTACATACTAATGATAAGAAAGTGTCTTACGGGTTACGTAGTCCTTATAATGTATAATCTCTTTTTCAATTTACTATAATAGTTCAGAATGTCGTCTGATTGATAATATTTCAAGGTTCCAAAATCTCATATTTTACATATATATATTTTATATTTTGGAAAGAACCACACTAAACTGCGAAGTATGTTAACCAAGGACATTAAATATATACAAGGACTGCTGTTGAATTCGAATGTAATAAATGTTGTTTTTTAATTTTTTCAATCCTCGCTTTTACTGAATCTGTCAACAAAGCCTTAATGAAGGGAACACGAACTGGAATACACGTATCCGTTTTATTTGGACATGAAGGTTCATTTCCCGTTTGTATTTGGCCGAGAATGAATAGAAGTAACTCCCTCCCTGGTCAAACGCAAAACTTTAAATGGCTTGCGCAAGAGCCTGGTTCAGGGCTCTTTGTGGGAAAGTGTTGAGTAATTTTGGAAGGCAGGAACACTCTTTCATAAAACCAACTGCTTGGGCTTAGCCTTAGACTTCCCTTCGATCCTCTTGAAAATTAACTGACAATAGAGGTCTGTAGTTCTCCGATTTGATTTGGGCTCCTTTCATGGAAAGCAGAATAACACCGAGCTGTTTTCAAAAATTAAACAAACAAACAAGCAGCTACATTCCCGGCTTTCGGAATGATACCTAGTTTGAATGAATTATTAAACAAAGAGTATAAGGGTGAGGCTAGGGAGTTAATGCTACATTTAAAGGTTCTTGCCTGGATAAATGTCGTCGGGGCTGAAGCTTCTATGGGCTTTTAAGAGTCTGTCCGCGAGAGGACCAGTTAGGCATGACACATGTCATCTCACCGATTTCTTTCAAACTTTCACAGCTTATGAGAGTCACTAAGTTATTCAAGAATCCACAGTGGTTCAGGCTCCCGGCTAATCCTTAGGGTATTTGAGCCCCCACATCGAATGCCTTCCAACGGATCTCTCTCACACTAACAGAATGCGTGGATCTTAATCTTATTTTGTCCAATGGTTGTTTGATACCTTAAGGAAACAATTCCTTAAAGTTGGGGTAATTTGATATAACTTCTGCCAATTTAGAGCAGTTAAAAAAGGAAAAAATTAGGGTTTTTTAATCGCAAATATCTCCAATGAGCAACATTGTATGGCAACAAACATTGGAAGGAAGTATTGCAAGTGCCCCCAATTTCGGAATCAAGACAAGACCACAACAGCGTGAGCTACGTCCCCTTCTCTTTACGAAAAGTGCGTGGGTTGTTTAACGTCCCTTGCCAACCAGTTATGGCAACTTGGGGCTGAGATGCTGCCACATGAAACCTTCCAACATCCTTAGATGACTAGCTAGGTGGCTGAATCCCATAGAAAACCGTAGTAAAAGCTGTTTCCTTTAAGTTTTGCTGCAAAAACTTTAAAAAAAAAAGTATGTATTGTAGAATCGTTTTTTGTGGCTTTTTTGTGGTTTTTGCGTGCGCCCCTCTATCGCGTCCTATTTAGGTTTAAAAAAATTTTCGAATTTTCGACACTTAGTGGCCATATATAGTGAAATTCGTTTTGATTGAGTTTGTTTGAGCCGGAAGGGAAGAAATTTGGCACTCGGTCATGGCGCACGGACGTCGTTGCGCTTGGTCCGTCATGACGTCGACTCAAATATTTTCCGTCCGGCCCTCCCACTCAGGAAATAAGTAAATATTTTTTTCTGATGGAAATTGTGGAGAACTGTGTTTTTGAGACTGTCCCATTTAAAAAAAGCTCTTTTCTGTATTTTACACTTTTCAAGCTCTCGTCCCAAAAGATTCAAAGGAAAGTTGTTCAAAGCTTTGATGCCCACCATCCTGTACCTCTTCATATTTTGGAAAGAGTCTTTTTGCAACAGTGGCGTAGTCTATCGACGTATTTTAAAATTTCCTCTGCTGCGTTTTTACAATTACCATCTCGGACTTAAAGCTCTACCTCAACTTCACCATCCGCGCGCTTGTTGACCGCGACAGAAACGTGCAATGACCTGCCCATAATCCCAAACCATTTTCTCTGTGTTTCCTGGTAACCAACTAAGGAGAATTTTAAGGCCAAGTTCATAATTACGAGCACTTGGTTATTGGCCAGGTTCTTAATAACAGTGCAGCGTCTCAAAGAGCTGCTCTGGGGATGTGCGCTATCCAAAATGAAGGGTCTAAGATTAGGAAATGGAGAAAACTTGTTCACCAAGGAGGAATAACTTTCATTTATCCAAATTGCTAGATATTTAAGCAGGCTATTAGCCTTTAGTAAGGCCGATCTCCTGAATGGAGTTGTAAGTGCCTCCTTGGAAGATGAATATACGAGCAATACGTCAACAATGCCGTAGAGATGGAGACGAGATTTCAAATAAGGAAGAGAACTAGAAACTTCTTACCGGTACAAAAAGATTTTTAAAAGTGACTGTCAGATAATGTTCTTCTTGTGAGTAACCTATGGAATCATTGGCTTCAGCGTGAGTAAAAAGAGGCGTTTATGCTGTTAAAAGGGACTAATAATCAAAAATGGACCGAGTAAGACCCTTTATTAAAAAAAAAAAAAAATTTCAGAAACCTCTCCCTGCCTTAGTCTAAAGAAATCGGAATCTTGATAGATCTTTTACATCTGAGAAGCAAATCTCACTCGTTTTTTCCTTTTTTGTTTTGTTTTTTTTTCAATTAAAGGTTAAATGTATCAGGAACAACTGTTCAGTAATGTACCTAAAATTGGATAAAGTCTTCTCAAAATTATGGTGCATCGAGTAAAATTATAATAGGTATATAAAGTGTTTCATTTGCGTAAATTACATCTGGCAAACGTCGCTGTCAACTGCCGACGTCCATTACTCAGTTCGGTAATGTTTGATGTATGATAAATACATACATTTATGAATCATTTTTTTCCAATAGATTGTGTCAGCGTCACACAATTTCTATGATAAGAGACTTCTTAGCTTAGTAGCCATACATCTGTTGTTTTTAGACATTAGTACCACAAGAACTAGCGTCGGCGATCCCATTCTCAAATTGAAATTGAGTGACCAAACATTAGTTTATCAAAATTGCATAAATTGCATAAATTAACGTTAGAAGGTACGTATTTTAGAGGGAAATGATCACGAATCTTTTACAGAGGCCAAAAATGTTTTGCCCACAAATTTAGTGTTAAGGTAGGTCTTTGCTGTGATAGTATGTTTCTCGTCATACAATGTTGCTCATTGGAAATATTTGCAATTAAAAAATCCTAATTTTTTCCTTTTTGGAATAGTTGCGTGACACAGTTAATGATTAACTGCTCTAAATTGGCAGAAGTCATATCAAATTAGCCCAACCTTATGGTTTTGGTTCCTTAAGGTTCAAACAACCATTGGACAAAGTAGGATTAAGATCCATCGCATTCTATTAGTGCGTGAGAGATTCGTTGGAAGTGCATTTTTCCAGCTAATTTTAGCTTTTACCCAGGGAGTTGATGTGGGGGCTCTAATACCCCAGGGATTATCTGGGAACCCGAACTACTGTGGATTCTTGAATAACTTAGGTGAGAGATGGCATGTGTCACGCCTACCCGGTCCCTTCTTGGACAGACTCATAATTCCAACAAGAGATTTTTAACTTTAATGCATTTGATGCCTGCACGAAATTCTTTGTCCTATCAACTTTCAGGAAGTTAAGAGGATAAGTCAAATTTTCCGATATGAAATATCGATTGAAACTATTTGCGATGGTTTTTTGATCAGTCAGAGTATCTGTACCAACTTAGAGTATCTCAAGGTCTTTTGTTCAATTTTTGCTGTCGGCTTCCTTTGCAATCTTGACGCTTAGTTGTTTAAGGTAATCTCAAAGCGCTTGGTTGAATGACGTAATTTTTGTTCTATTATTCAAATGTTGGGAACGTTAATGCATTAAAAGTCGTTCCCGTTATAATATTCTGGCTCAATATTTTGCTTTTTTTGAAAACATCTCTTCATATTCAAATCACCAATTTGCCGAGGTATTTTTTGTGGTTTGTCAGATTTGAGACAAAAGCAAAAACAAAAAACTCTGCAAAGGTGATTTTTTCGCAATTATGTTATCAGGTAAAATACTGATATTCTATTTATTTTAATCATTTAGTACTCCAATTGAAATTTCGTGAAGCAGTGGATAAATACAAATTGAAAACATCTCTTCACATTCACATAAGAGGAGGTCCATGGCAAGTGGCGCTGCTGTTTATGGATGAGCTATCTACACGTAAACTGTCATGGGACTGGTATCATGAAGTGTGGG